ATCACAGTTTTACTTAAACCAGGGAAGGACCCACTCCATTGCAGCAGCTACCGACCGATTTCACTACTAAATGTGGACGCTAAACTGTTCACGAAAACTCTAGCTACCAGAATTAAACATCTCCTCCCCGACTTGATACACGCGGACCAGACGGGATTCATCCCAGGTCAGGAAGCTAGGGACAGCACCATACGACTTTTCTCTATCCAACACCACGCAAGGAAATTGGGGACCCGGTTGCTCTTGCTATCCACAGATGCAGAAAAAGCATTTGACCGGGTCAACTGGACATATATTCTGGCGACACTAAGACGGCTAGGCTGCGGTCAGAGACTCCTTACATGGATATCTGCCATTTATAGCAAACCACGCGCATCCGTGAGGATTAATGGGGCCACGACCGCGGACTTCACGATAAACAATGGGACCCGACAGGGATGCCCACTTTCACCATTGCTGTTTGCAATGACCTTGGAAGCACTGCTACAGGCAATCCGCCAAAATCCAGACATACAGGGATATGACTGGCAGGCAATACAACATAAAGTGGCTGCGTACGCAGATGATCTCCTTTTCTTTGTCCGCAACCCCAGGATCACAATACCGTGTCTCCTCTCTGAATTTGACAGATTTGGCCAGATATCTGGATTTAAGCTTAACATATCGAAATGTGAGGTCCTGAATTTAACACTCCCCACAGATGAGTACTGGTCTTTAGAATCGGAATTTGAGTTCCATTGGTGCCGCGACAAGATGAAATACCTGGGCATCTGGGTAACCACGACCCCGGAGGACACATATCAACATAATTTTACACCCTTACTAAAGAATGTACTCGCAGACCTGTCCAAATGGTCTTATCCTCACATAACATGGCACGGGAGGATCGCAGTGATCAAAATGAATATCCTCCCGAGGATCCTATATCTCATGCAGACTATACCTCTCGCAATACCATCAACTTTCTTTCCACCCTGAAAACAGCGGTGATCAAATTCATCTGGCGAGGAGGAAGATCCAGGATTCAACACAACATCATCTGCCGACCTAGACTTTACGGAGGGCTAGCATTACCAGATTTCAGGAAATACCACCAGGCCACGATCATGCAACGTATACTAGATTGGCATGCAACACAGAAGACTAAACAATGGGTGGAGCTCGACAGGGGTCTCATCGGGCCAACGATGGAGGCGAAGATCTGGGGAAGCCCTGGTAGATCACCTACTCATCTTGCTGAGGAAGGACTGATCCTACAGACCCTACATGGTTGGAAAACACTGAGAACACAAGACCACGTATCCCCCATGCCCAGCCCAATGATACCGATCATGCATAACAGCCATAGGGGGGGGACTTCCTCCTGGAGCATTGCCCATCCAGGACTCTGAGGCATACATACCCATACATAAGGCACTCGAGGACGGGAGACTACGGGACCTACCTTCGATGTTGGGCGACAGACCGCAAACTCCTCTCCTCCAATTTAGATATCTACAATTGAAACATTTTTACGATTCGCACCTGCACAAAGATCGATTGCACAGGGACCTCACGTGGTTTGAAGGCCTCTGCGACTGAGGCACCACAATAGAACATGCAATCTCGGCACTATATCAACATCTACTAATCGGAGGCACGCCTACAACGTTCAAACGGCAATGAGAAGAACAACTTGGAATAACACTCACAACACAGCAATGGGATACGGCGTTGCTCTGGCAGCATAAGAGTTCTATGAGCTCATACTACCAGGAAATTAACTTCAAACTGATCTCCTACTGGTATAGAACACCAGTTTTTCTGCACCACATATCCCCTTCAATTCCCCCGATGTGTTGGAGGTGCCAGGAAACACGCGGCACAGTGCTACACATCTGGTGGGAGTGCAGGGTTATCATCCCATATTGGGAAATGATTAAGGAAACAGTGGTGCTCATCCTGGGAGACTTACCGGAATGGAATGCGGAATTGGCATTGCTACACATCTCGACACATTCCATATGGTCATGCAAGAAATCGATAATACGACACCTGCTTAATGTCGCCAAGGCCAACATCCCAGTCCACTGGAAAAAAAGTGAAATTCCAACCAAAAAAGAGTGGATCCGTAGAGTAGAAGAAGCACATGCTACTGTGACGGGACGAGGAACCAGGCACGCGGAGAAGTGGACGCCGTGGTTCTTATACATTTCCCGTTGATGTGAGACGTGCAGGGAGACGTGCAGGGGCCCGCGGCGGGGGCGCAGGCTGGGACGAGCTTTGCTGGAGGGACCACCCCACCCCAAGTGGCTTGATCGCCACTACCCTCTGTTTCTAACCCCCTTTTATTTGTATACCGGGGCCGGGGGAGACTGGGATCGAGGCCGAATGGACTGATTACGAGACAAACAAAACACACGATATACCAGAAGTATTATAGGGATGAACAACATACACTTATAGAGGGATACTAACAAACACAAGGAGATTCAAACAAGACGCAGAGATCCGGGACACACTGTGGCTTAGATACTCGGCGCATAGACGGGAATATGGCATACATATGAACATTTGGCATTAGATAGACACAAAACTCATCTCTCTCACGCACAGGAGTAACATTCAGGCTAAATAGAACTATGAAAATTACCACACAGTGACCAGATACAGGGAATCGGGCACCACAATTGGGCCCAGGGACTCCCTTACGCCACACAAGCTCTGCCACAGGTAACAGTCACGGGAAAACTATAGCCCCGAGCACTGAATATCAGTTATATGTTATATAAAGCTCCCGCTTTTGATTGATACATGGAGACTTTCAATGTTATAAAAGAATTGAGCATGTACGTTTCCTTTTGTGGGGTGAGAGTAACTAGACACACCTTTCAGAAAGTTAATACGGACCTGCGTGTCCACTCATCTCGTAACACAAGCAGACCAATGGGCTTGCAAGATTTATGTTTTTTCACATGGATCACCAGTTTTCCTTACTCATGTTATGCTTTTATTATACAAATTTCTAGGCCTGCGAGTCTTATTACTTTACAAATGCTGAACCTACAAATAAATAAATATTTAAAAAAAAAAAAAAACCTTCAGTCACTTACTAAAGACAGTGATGATGTCCCTCGTTGCTGCTTCTTCGTCAGCCGGCGAGACTGAACACGCCCGCTGGCTGGCGAGACCTAATGTGCATGCGCACGTGCATTAGACCTCTCCATTGGAAAGCACTGAAAATGCTGTTCAGTGCTTTCCTATGGGGATTTTAGCAACGCTGGAGGTCCGCACACAGCGTGAGGATGTCCAGCGACGCTATAGCACAGTGCTATGGACCAGGAAGTGCCCTCTATTGGCTGTCTAGTAGACAGCCACTAGAGGAGGAGTTAACCCTGCAAGGTAATTATTGCAGTTTATGAAAACTGCAATAATTACAGTTGCAGGGTTAAGGGTAGTGGGAGTTGGCACCCAGACCACTCCAATGGGCAGAAGTGATCTGGGTGCCTGGAGTGTCCCTTTAAAGATCCGATTTCCCACTGAGTGAATGTAGACCCATATTGTTTAACCCCTGCAGTAACCCTAACAAAGAAATACATTTTTACACTTACAGATGCCCAACACTGATTTATATTGCTTTATGGCTGTATTGTTGATTTTTGCTTGCTACAGGAAATCCATTCGTCATGTAATTCCTTCTTAATTAGCTGTATCACAATTATTATTGTTATAGACATCTATGTATAACTATTTAGTGTCAAAGCACCCTCCTTTGATTAGGATGGGACAGAGAAATTCTAAACAGCCTTGTAAAAGTAAACAAAGGGCTGTAAAAGGGGGGACAGTCCCCAAGCCATAGCTAAATGAGACCCCTAAACATCCTATACAAAAATGCAGGGGATTATTATGTGGACCCTTTTTTTAAAATAATCTAGCAGGTTACACTGAGAGGATGCAAGGCAGTAAAATTTTTCCCAGAAAAGGAGGCTTGGACCCAGAGCATGTTTTAATGATAGAAGGCATGGTTCACAAAGGGAAAATGGCCATGGTACGGACCAGATGAGTATTTTGTTTTCAGGGAGGCACTACTGTGTCTTCACCCTTTGTCCTGATATTGACCACCTCCATCAATTAATCAAATTTTTCACTTTGCACCACAGTGGGGCGTGTGTTTACGCTCTTCCACAGGAACTGACTGATATTATCAGCAACCAATCTGTCCTCATCCTAACAGGCACTCAGGAGGTTAAATTGACCATAGACCCAGTGGTAATCTAGGTGCCACAGTACTAACTCCCCATTTCAGATGATTCAGTTTAAGTGAATACACCCTCTTGGGTTGTAAAAATGTTTCACCACTAATGTATCTCTCATTTACTGTATTCTTTTAAAGTTGTAAAAGTATACTGAACTACTGAAGGAGATTTAGTTGATTTTTCCCTTGTTACCACAACTGTAGACTCCAGGTTCGTGGGGTTTGAGGTTTTGGTCAGGCTTGTAGTCTGGATCAGTTAATCACGGACAGCGGTGTCTTCTGCTTTTGTTTGACCCCTGGTTATTCATCTTTGACCGGTCAATCCAACGATAGCCAGACCGTTAATATGGCATATCTTTAAAGATGTTAAATATTTGAGGCCAGATAAATTGCAGATAACACCAGTTTTGTGTGTAACGGAACCGCTGGCACCCCGACCGGGTACCTTCCGCCGACGGATGCTTCTAGTGCTTTCCGAGGACTCCAAGCACTCTGCCTGACACCATAACCACTGCAGACCCCACGAACTGCCGCAGCTTAGTTGGGGTCTCGCCGTCTCCACCCACTCTGGACCCAGGACCAGGGTCCAGCTTCCAGCAGGTCGACCTCTCTCCGAATTCCAGAGAGCAGGAACAGGAACAAGCTCTTAGCAGAGCTTAGTGATTATACCCTGGGGAGTATAGTGATTATAGTAATCCCCAGAGTGTAGCAAAAATACGTAAGAGTACATAAAAATACATAATTCTTATTTTATTACACAGAACCCCCACATTTAACCTATCCCCAGATAGCTCAGATCTGAGCGCCCAATCTAGGTGAACAGCGCTCAGATCCCATGAACAGAGTAGATTTTCCATGGGGTAAAGCATAGCAAGGGCTGTTGAGAAACTCTGGAGGGACAAAAGCAGTCAGTTCCAACTGGTTTGGCAGTGTGCCTGGGACAACGCCCTGCTGGAGAACAATAGACGGGAAACGGGGGAGGGGATGAAACACACCTTCCCATGGATTCCAATGGGAAGAAACTATCTTTAGAAGCCAATAAGCCCCAAATAGTCTTTTTAAATGGCAATACACCCCAGGGCCATAGTCATGAGGAAGGAGGCTGGCAATCAGGCTCCTCCAAAAGCCGGGGGCAAAGGGCAGCTTGTCACCTAACAATCCAGGGACAAAGGGCATTTCGTCACATGTGTCGCCTGATTAAATACTTGATAAATGTTTATTAGGTTAAACTAGCATAATCTAAGGGAATAGAATATCGACAGGGTGCAGACCCTGTGTGGCTGGTGTAGTCAGCATATTTGCAATTGCTAAATAAATGTTATAAATAAATCTAAGAAAGAGCGCGCTATAAAAGGGGACCCCTCCTTTCTAATACATACTAAGATGTTTAAATACATTTAAACATTGGTTGAGAATTATATAATGGTATACCTTGAAATAATATTTCTGTTATATGTTTATAATGTGTGGATGCAATGACTATATGATAATGCATGTGTGACGGACCACTGGGCACCTCGACCGGGTACCTCCGTCAATCGCTGCTTCCTAGTACTTGCAAGCACAATAAGCACTGCATTCGAACATCATAACCGTAAACCCACCGTAAACCCCACAAACCGCCGCAACTTGGTTGGGGTCTCGCCGTCCTCAACCCATGCTGGACCCAAGACCAGGATCCAGCTTCCAGTGGGTAGACCTCTCCTAGACCAGAGAGCATAGCTGGAACAGTTCTTATAAGAGCTAATGATTATACTCAGGGGATTATTGTGATTATAGCAATCCCCAGAGTCAATATAGCTCTCCAATCCCCCAATCATGAGTCCAGACTTCATGAAGGGGTAAACAAATCTCTCTTTAATGGGAGCTACACTTGGCATTATATGACAATCCCCATACAAGGGGTACGCCCACAGGGACCTTGTGGGGGACTGATTTGCAACTTCACAGACCAATAACAATAGGGTTACAAGGCACGACACCCCCACACACAGCACACCTGGGACATAATTGGATCAGTAACTGTACTAATTCTCAGGGGCGGGCTGGGCCGGGGGGCAGGGAGGCAATTGCCCCCCAGGCCGCCCTAAATTCCTGTAAGGCCGGCCGCGGCGGGCCGGCCCTTTAAATACTGCAGCCGCCTGAGCGCTCTGTTAAGAGCCTCAGGCGGCTGCAGCTTCTCCCCTCCCCTCCCCTGTAGCGTGGCCGAGCTGCACTCCGGTCGCGGT